AGGAAAGAGTAGTGTAAAACGTTTCAATAAAGAGCACCTTAGCATTTTGGAAGGTAGAATTAAAATTATTGATTTTTGTACTTTAAAAATCTCAGGTTTGTGCTAATTTACATTGACTAAGAATAAAGAAGGGAATGAAGGGAAAAACAAAAACCTTGAACTGTTAGTTGCAATTGTGCATCTTCAAGAAGAGGTTTGACTTGTTGGCGAAAAATATTGGTAGCAGATTTGGTGCCCCCAAAAGGATTAACAAAAACAAAGAGCCTCTTAGGTCGTCCTGTTCCATTCGCAACACAAAATTAACAACACAAGCTGCAAAATTAAGTAGGCCATATGAAATAGTTTACCGAGAGAATCGATGAATTCACGAAGCTTCAGGCACCAGAGCCGGTGCGATTCCTCAGACGAGGGCCTAAACACGACGTCGTTTCGGAGCAGTTTTCCTCTGCTCCCGCAACCGCAGCATCCATTTTCGCTCTCCACGATGGTTTTGAGCCTGATGTTGGGAGCGTCGGCGGTGAAGCCGAGAAGCTCTTTTTCGATGGTCAAATTCCGTTGATCACCTTCCGGCCACCACAGCCTCCCGTCGGCGAGCAGAGAGAGCTGCGTCACCTTCCCGTTGACGTTGACCCGGTCAGAGATTATGGCGGCGGTTTGGTCCATTGATAACCGGTCTGATTATAAACTAAACTAAAAAACTAACACAAGTTTGGGACTTTCCGGGGACAAAGAATAATGCTAATGACTTGATTTAGGAGGAAACCAAGTTTGCTTTTGTTTGCTCTGTTTTGTTTTCTACGCAAACACGATAGATTAGCTTAACAATTTCTTTCTCTTTATCTCTCCGATCAAATTTTAAACAATAAATGCTCTTATTTACACTCCGCAATCCGAATTCTGTGTTGAACTCGATCCAACTTTGACCAAAATTTACATGGCTTTTACATTTTACTTTATTTTATATTTCTTTATTATAATATATATAATTAAAGTTAAAATCTTATTTTTTAGTAAGCTAAGGCACTTTCTTTATAATATACCATAGTATTACATCACTGTGTTCTTTTACATTAAAATTTATACAATTTACTTATTTAACTTTCATTAATCTGTCAAATTTTTTATTTTGAGTATTTTGAAATTTCTAGGTCAGTCTTCATGTTTAAGAATGAAAATAAGTTAAATTAAGTCAAACTTTAAATATATTAATTAAATTTATTTTATAAAATTAAAGTTTAAATTTGATTTATTATTTATTATAAATTTTTTTTATAAGTTTGGCTTATAACATTTTTAAAGTTTAATTTCGCCTATTAATTTATTTAAAAGTCTATTTATATTAATAAAATTAATTATGTTAATAAATTTAATTTTTAAAAAGTAATAATTTTATTTTTAAAATATAATTTATTCAACATTATTAAAATTAAAATTTTAAAAGAAATATATGAAAAAAGAATTAAATAATTTTTTATTAATATGATAATTATTACATAATCATATATGTTGATATACACTTACGCATATATTGTAAGTATATAAATTCATAATGAAAAAAATTGTATAAAAAATTAATATTGATATTTTTTTAGCTTTATAAATTTATTAATTTATTTATATTTTTAATAATATATGTGTATTAGTTTTAAATTATATATAATAAATAAATTTATTTTTAAAATATAATTTACTCAATATTATAAAATTAAATTTTAAATGAAATATAGGAGAAAAGTGAATTATTTTTTATTGGAAGAATAATTGATGCTACTTAATAACGTATGTATGTCAATGTACACTTACACATAGGTCGTAAGTTTATAGATCTATAATGGTAAAAAAAATTGTATAAAAAAATTATTTTAAATATTAATAATTTTTTTTATAAATTTATTTGTTTATTTATATTTTTAATTATGCATATATATATATATAAACATATATTAATTTTTTATTATATCAGTTCTAACAAAAATATTTATAAACCTAAGTCTAGCCATTTTATATAAATAGATTTTTTTTAAAAGTTTAAATTGACATTTTTATAAATAAGTCAAGCTTTAAAGAGATCAAATCATAAACTCTTATTTAAGGTCCAACCTATTTCCATACCTAGTCATAGGTCTTAACAATATAAAATGTTCACATATTTAATGACGGGTTAACACATGACATAGAAAATTCACTTTTTATGTTAGGTGATCAACGACTTTCGTAGTATGAGTATTTAAAGTGATGTTTAAACTTTAAATCATGCTGACATCCACATTTTATAATGAGTATGGTCATATCTATCATAGACTATGACACATTTTATAGTGGATGTGACATTACCTAACATAAAATGTTGCATATTTTATGACAGGTAAGGTCACACTTGTCATAGGATGTGCATTTTCTATTATGGGTATAGTCACACCCGTCATAGAAAGTATATTATTTTAATATTCTATTCATTTTTTTTAACCTTTTCAAACTCATACAAAAAAATGCAATTCAAGTTGTTCAATATAGACATATATAAAATAGACTTAATTGCATTTTCGATTCCTCAAGTATTATAATTGGGTAATTTTGATCCCAAAATTTTAATTAGGTAATTTTAGTCTCTAAAGGATTGCAATTGTGCGATTTTGGACCTTCAATTTTTAATTCAACAATTTTAATCCCTCAAATATCATAATTGTGCAATTTTAGTCTCTCTCATTAAAAATTTAATAATTTTAATATATATGTATATATATAATGTATTAAAATTATACAATTATTTATCTATTTAAGTTAACACATATTATAATTTTCTTCAATGTATCAAATGATATATATTTATTATTAATAAATAAATAAAATTTATATATTATTATTTTTATAATATTACTGATTAATTAATATCAATAATATTATTAGTATATTTATAGATAAAATAATAATTTGATAAATATAATTTATTATATATTAATATACTTTTACAAAAATATAAGTATATTAATTAGAAATATACATATCTTTTGTTATATATTTATATTTTTG